CGAGCTCCTGTCTATCGCTACTTCTAAGCAGTTTGTGGTCGTAATCAGTGTGGGGGAAAATATGCACATGGGTAACTACTACATGTGGTGGTGACGATATGAAAACTCAGGAGGAATTCTCATTGGTTTCTGTACACTTCTACACGGATTTGTATGTAAACTCGTATCAGTGAGGAAACTCCTGAACTATTCCATGTTGGAATATTCAGCATCACCAGCCCACTGCTATTGCAATGGAGTTTCACCCGTTTTGCGTGAAGTGGCGTGAAACTCGGTGTAAGACGCGATATTCGCGGTGATATGCAGTAGTCGTGAAATATGTTTTTCACTAGTGTTTTCCATATCACTAGGGTGAAACTCATTGAGCTCACTCTGTAAACATTATCTATTGAATCTTCTCATTGTGTGCTCTTCCTAGTCATCCGCCTATCGCAGCTGCTGAGTGCCAAGCTGTGACGGAGGAGGTGGACAATACGATAAAGGTGGGGACTTTGGATGGCCACTTCATACAGGACTTTAAGGAGGACTATCTTGCTACTATCAAGTAGGGGAAAGCGTTACCAGTTGTATGTGCATGCGTGCTGGTGACAGGTCTGTGAGCATCTTGTTGGACTCAGAGTTGACGGCGGTAGAGCTGTCAGGAGCGTTCCCGGGTGGCAACAAGGTGAGAGGGAAGGGGTCCGTCTAGAAAGGATGAATGCAATGAGGGGAAAATATGAAAATTCCGAGGAAATTTCGCGAAATTCTGGTTGGTTTTTGTACACTTCTACCTCAAATCGTTTGTAGGGAAACCGCCAGTTCTGGTGAAGAGACCAGACATGTATTCTAATACTGGCATGGTGTCCATTTGGTGCTTGTAGATGCATGGTGCCTCTTCGCCCGCCTTCCCACCCCCACACTGCTTGACTCGATATGAATGGAGGTCCTCAGCAGCCGAGGAACCCGCTGATCGGGCCAGGCATCTCGATCTGTCTATTCGGTAGGTTGTCTATGCAAGGAATTGGTTTAACAATCGCTAACTCGGAAGAGTCGCATTGCAGCCGAATTTGAACACTCGCGGAAATCGAATTGTATACTGACGCTATGTTAGTGTCACTAACTTAGTGACATGGAAAGAGATCTGTCGTATACTTCCTGGGCTAGCGGGCATATGGTATGATGTGTTTCAGGTCACTGCATACAGGTTTGCGGAGTGGCAAGATAGAGGAGTGTATGATAGTGCTACCACCGACATCCTATATGGGCGGCCGGGACAATGTTACTGTGATCATAAGGTGGGGTATCTTAGGTTGCCGAGAGTAAGATACGGATTAAGTCCACTAGGTGGCGACGAACAGTTGCGGCGGATCAAGACATCACCAAGGGTGAGCGCATTCTAGAAGGTAGGCTCTTTCTCCTTCTTCCTCGATCATCGGCTTGGGCCTGCAAAAGCTGTTGGCCTATCTCTATCTCAAGACATGCCACTTGCTGGTTTCATGCTCTCTATGTTGGAATATATATTTGGTTCTCCCAGATGGGCTCAGAGTTTCCTCGCTAATCGTAGAGTTTTATAGGATTTTGCGACTCTTTGATCCGAATTGTACAGGAATCACCAAGAATCTTCGACAGTTCCCTCACTTAT